TATAAGACCATCTTAAGTGCAGTCTTAAAAGATTATAAGTTAGACAAAAAGCTGTATTAAAATATCTTTAAGATATTATTTAAGACAATTTTGAAATAATAACCGACTATGAATACCGTCAATGAATTATAAGACAGATTTTTATATAAAAATTTAAAGAAATCTGTATACTATATTTGATTTTCTAACGAAACTATTAATCCTATTAATTTAAGCATCGAATTTCCTGGATCCACGATGTGACATCTCGGTACAAATTAGTGCAAATGAGTAAGTCCGCAAGAGCCAAATTGCAAGTACGATTTTATTCATCGTTATGACGATTCACATTCGACCTGCTCTTTTCGTTGGCGACTGCATTACAAAGGAACGCGTCGACGCCTTTGGCCAGTAGAGATAACTGCACGGTCGAAGCTTTTCGTCAGAATGGTACGCGTTGCACGCCCAGCTGCGCACGAGAGCGAGGAGAACCACCCTTCACAATATTCCTTCGGCCGCGAGAGCGAACACCATCACCATTACCGTCGACGTACATTTGCCTCCTCGAAACTGCCAGACAAACCCCGACTCCTCACCCCCTACCGGCCATCGCTATATTTCTCGGCATCGCCCTTGCCTTTGGCGCCGCGATTCTTTAGTTTTCGGACACCGTCTCACCCGCAGATCCTCCCTTCACGCGAGAAAACGCCGCGTGTCGGGGATGAAATCATTTGCATTCAGACTCCGAGCGAGACATTGGGTGCCTTTTTGCGAGCCGAGCGTCGCCTTTCTTTCTTTCTTTATACGGCGGCGTTTTGACCGGGGATTTTCTTTGGCGACGGGTCCTCCGGAATCCTCCAAGCGGAATTTACGCGATGACAGAAGCGTTCGTTGGATCGATGGATTCCATGAGTCGGAATATTTTTCTTTGTTCCTGTTGACGACTCTTTCTCTCTCTCTCTCTCTTTCTTTCTTTCTTTCTCTGATGATTGTCATACGCATTTAATGATTTCGTATTGGCTCTTTCCGGTGGGGTTACTCGAGTCATCCATGCGTTGGACAATTGTATTTAACGCACAGAGTGCCATTGTTCTCTTTGAGGATGTACTTGCCAAATCAATATTACTATCTACACTTAACCGCGCAAAATGTCTCGTCTCCAGGAAACGATACAATTGCATTTGACGAGAGAAAATTATAGATTATTTCGTAATTTTAAAGTCATTATTTATTTCAGCTGTATTCTTATATCACTTTCAAATAGAAATGAACTCCTAAATTCTTAAATCTTTTAATTCTGCACCCACAATTTGTGCATTTTTTAAATAAAAATTCAGTTCATTTAGAAACGATTTTTCCATAATAAACTTACTGAAGTATCGATAAATCACGAACGATTAAAATCTTTTTTTAATAATTTCAATTTTATCAAATAGAAATAAGTGAAACTATAATTCGAATGAGAGATCAGGATAATTGATATATTTTCGACTTTTATCGATGTACAATACATGTATTATTTCGTAAAAACTATCTGAATTTCTTTTGGAAAGAAAATACAATTTTATGTAATTTTGTTTTTATTGACTCGAGAGAAGTGAAATGGTCTTGTATCGTCTTATCGCCGTTTCGAGAAAGAGCAGAGTTTATTAAATTTCGCACGCCAAAGTCTCTCTATTCTGCGAGTTCTACTAACCATTGCATAAGAACGCTTCGTAATATCATTATACGAATTGGCGGATGTTCCATAAAGGCGATACTTGTGCGAATATATAATTCGAGCACTTTGCCAGCGAATGTCAAATTGTGTTACGTCAACTCCTATGCGCATATGTACCTAATACATATTTGACGAAAGTGGAAAAGTATGAGTGCTAATTGCGATGTTTACCTTCTAGCAAGCTTTATTGTACATAAATAGCGCAAGCCTGTTTAATTTAGAAACTAAATATTAACAAGCAAAATTATGTGTAAATTTTTCATATTGTTTGACACATACATACCGAAATTATGCAGCGAAACGGTGCGTTTTTGTAATATTTATAAAATTTTACTAATATAAAATACGTATAATTAATATTATAATTAAAAGGGTATAATTAAAAATGCATAATTAAAATATGCATAAATGAAACGCGAATATAGTTACTATTTTTATATCTTGCGAATCTAGAGAAGTTATTTCGATTAAACGCGTCGGGTTTTGTCTATTTACTCTCTCTCTCTCTCTCTCTCTCTCTCTCTCTCTCTCTCTCACAAATTCTACAATAATTTAATTAGAACGTTGTTGAATTTACAATATTCATTTCCTCAACGTCACTAGAAAATGTCAAATTGATTGATTATATTATTCTGGATGTAACGATTTCATTGTACATTGCAAAATATTGATAGATATACATATATCACACAACATTACTAATGTTAAATATATGTATATTTATTAATATAATGCACATAATAAGAAACTATTTAATAGTCTAATATTTTAATTCTTTAATCCTTAATGTACCGTACACAAAATATTCGTTTAAGGTGGGATAAATCCGTTCAAACTATACAATTGAAAGATTAATGCCGAATCCAAGAATTTCAATTATCATAAAACTATCTCATTGAACAACTGAATGTTCCGGAAAAAAATTATATCTTGCGAGAAGTAGCGTGCATCCTTCCGACGAAAGATTCCAATTATGCATTACGAGGAAAATGAATCGCGACAAAACCGTGTAGTCATTTTATTGCGACAGAAACCGTGCAGTCATTTTATCATATAATCGTGCAAACTACGTTAATATAGAAACCGTAACATCTGTTTTCCGCGCACGTAAAAATCTCGCAGTTTCGTGATATCGACGTGATATGGATCAAGGCGCATTTCACCACGGAAGACCGACGCTTCGCCTATATTTCTCTAACCCGTACCGGCCATGAAAAATGACTCCGCTGCCACAAGGTTGCACGAAGTATTCCACCGCATATCTCATTCTTCGTACATCAAACGTGACGTCTCACGTATATCTGCGTTCAAGCTGTTGAGATGCTTTTTCTTTCGTACGCAATATCGTTGGATTTATCGTTATATACTATGTCGAAGTAAGAATATAAATAACGCAATAAGTTATTTATATACAGTTATCAAAATATAGGTAAGTTTAGTTAATGACTACTATTACGTTATTTATGTATGTCGACAGATATAAAAATAAATCCACTTTTAGTAAGTATATAATCATGTAGAGAATAAGTACATATACAAGCAATATAATAAAAGTTATCGAAGTATGAAATATGCATATGAATATACTTATAAATGAATATTTAATTGATAATCATTATTTGTTGACAATCATTACTTGTTGCTTATCTATATGCTTTATTTATCTGTACTTATACAGAAATATGTCTGGCGTATTCATTAAAACGACTAATTACGATAACTGTTATCACCACATCTTTGATTAACGAAATCCTATATCTATAAAAATTGTGTGTTACGTAACAAAAATTTCGAAGCATTTGCTCCAATGATACCTCGTTCGCGACGCACAGCTCTCTCATTCATTACACTTCATTGCACTCCACAGGATGGCTATTTCATTAAAGAGCACCGAGGTCTCCTCGAACCTCGTTACTGTCGGATCGAATAGTTAGTAGATAATCTGTAATCTGACCCTATCGTCGTGCGAATACATCGAGTCAATATATAAGTGCATCAAGTGGCAAGTTTATGTGCGGAAAGTCGATATATACAAAAGTTTAAAAGTCTAAATATAAGAGTTTCTCTCAAAGCGACCTAAAAAGTAGCACATCTTTAAAACATCCGTTACATTTTTGTGTTGAAACTGTTATAATTACGTTTTTAAAAATTTTACAAGATATTTCTAAGTTATTTTCTTACGTATAATTTATTGCAAAAATTTTTTTGCTCTATAAAGATTCTCTCTTTCTGTAAATGACATCACGATCGAACTTAATCAATTATTCCCATACAGCACAAATCTCCAAGAGACATCCTAAGACTTCCAGAAGACTTCCTTATGTCTTCCAAGTTCCCAGGACATCCTTTGGATAAAGTGCTGTGTGGATTAATATTAGACTGATGAAATGAAAATTTTGCAGCATAATGTACTAATTGTAAAAAAACTAAGTGCTACATATGAAAATAATTTTCTTTCTCATCTTTCATTCATTAACTTTAAATTTCTCGTTAGAAAGCGTAAGTAAATAACTTGTTAATTAACTTCTTTTTCTCACTGCGCGACGTATAATAGCACGTGAAAGCGGAATGCTTTCGAAGGTATGTGTTTTTACGTACCAGAAGGAAAAGGCCAAGGAGACCGACAATACTGACGAAGAAGAAACTTGCGCGCACTCGTCGGTGGACAGAGATAGATTGAACGGTCGGATTACCGAGAGCCGCGGTTAAATTAAATCATATCCGAGTGAACTCAGGGTTAAAATCTACCGAGGCGCACTCTCGTTCGTACGCGTGTTGTGCGTGGAACACATTCAGTTTTCGGGCCCCGTTCTTGTGGCTCATTCGATTTTTACACGGTTTCCTTGTTTTTTCATTTCTTTTCTTCCTTTTGATCTTTCAAATTAGTTACACATTCTATTTTGCTTTAGCAGCTAAAACAAAAAAAATTAAATATAAGTATTTTTAGTATAAAGTAGTTTAAGCTTGTGTGTGTGTGTGTGTGTGTGTGTGTGTGTGTGTGTGTTTGGCTTATAATATTTTGGCGTAAAAGCAACACTATAAATCTATTATTTTTGTGAAATTTCTAGAATATTGTTTCTACTTAAAAATATTATTTTTTTAGTAGAATATAAATTTTTCATCTGATTACATTCATACATGCATGTAATATAATTTTTGAAAAGAAATTAATACATAAAAATTTTTATTGTAATTCAAATGTCTAGTCGAAAGTGGAGGGATTAAAATGCAGAGAGAATGCACAAACTGAGAATGCCTGAAACTGAAATTGAGCTGAAACAATGACGAGTTCTTTTTCAATTCATTTAGTTTCAGCGAGTTTATATATTCATACCGTAGACAGTAATCTTTATGCTGATTCGTAACAATGACGATGCGACAATTGGAGCTTGTTATACAATGAAGAATTAAGATATAGTTTTCAATACGTGCCGGTTAGCCTGGTAAAAAAAAGTTATTTAAACTTTCATTCCGGCACTTTACAATGATTAATTATTAAATTATCCATCTTTTAAGCATCTATAAAATCTATCTTTTAAATACCTTTCAAATTTAATTTAGATTTTATGATTAAATAAATTACATATTTTTACTTGTGTGTTTTGCATTATGTTCTAAAAAAAAACGTAATTGCATAAAAACGTAATTGCATAAAAATACATCCGATTGATGAAATATTTATTATTTTACTTACTAAATTTATAATTCAGTTTCTACTCTTCTCTGCTATAAAAAAACATGTATAAAAAACATTGAATATTTTTTTTATATCATAGATAAAAAAATACCAGAGATATCTGTATATATTTGCAATATTTTTTTATGCTACACATATATAAAAAAAATCACATGTATTTTTTTACACATGTATGACAATGAGAGTAGAAATTATAATTTCGTTAAATAAAATTCTAAACATTTTATCTGCGTATTTAATCATTTCTACTA